ATTTCTACAGCGTTCATGCGAATGAATCGCCGCATGTCAAACTATTTACGGAAAGTTTAGCGGCGTAACGAGCCTTGATAATTTCGCTCAGGCGATTCAAGTGGTAAGACATTGCGATGCGAACGTAGAATCGACAACTCCAACGCGAAAAAGAGTATGCAGACTCAGACAGACGCCTACAACGTGACATTCGAATGGTTTGTTGACGCGGGACGCGGTGCTTCTTGCCCGTACTCCATTGCGCGTGCGTTCGAACTGTCGTCTGCTTTTTCAAATTTGGCTGCTTTCTGTCGTCAGCTCGTTCAAACGACAGCGGCCCGTAAACCAAACGTTGACCCGGTAATTGCGATAAGAACTAAGTGCAGGCCTCAAAACACATTTGAAGGTTGGTTGGGGTAAGTCGGCTAAGTGTAAACAGATACAAGAAGTTGTTGATCATTGTTACCAGTGGCCATCACCGACTTGTAATGCCCGATTCTACTTGCGGTTTTCAGTATCGATGTCCACAATCTCAGCTACGGTCCACGCTTTTGCAGCCCGAGCGACGTCGCGACTGAAAATAGCGAGCAGAATCTCATCGTGGGAGTCAGGCTTTAGCGCCCGTTCTGCGGCGTCCACGTGAAATGAATCGCCGCACGTCACATTATTCACGCAAAGTTTTGCCTCAAAAGTTTTGCTGAAGCTGCTCAAGTAGTCAGACATTGTTAGGAGGACGTAGAATCAACAATTCCAACGCAAAAAAGAGCACGGGGACTCCCACCGACGCCGACAACAACGCAATTCAATGGTTTGTTTATGGGCGACGGCGGGCTTCTTGCCCACCATCCACCGCGCATGCGCGGCGCCGGTGGCGTCCGCTAGGGGCGCTCCGGTTTGTTTGTAAACATGAGTTGGTGTATGGTCTCAGCTTAAGAACGGAGTATATGGACAACATTTTTGGCGAGGTAGATCCTTCGGAAGCGATCTTCGGCGATAGTCAAATATTTCTTGACGTAAAGAACAATATTCCCCCCGAATGACACCTTTTATCTAAGGCAGTCCGGTCCTGCAATACATTCAATGATGCACTTCATAGTATCACTCCGTTATTCCCTCTGCACTGCGCGGACGCACAGGTTTATGGGCCGCCTCGGCAAAAATATAGATGCGGACCCGCGGATATCCACACCCAATCCGCATCCGCAGTCCCTGGCATCAGCATACGATTCGGAATCTGCCAAATCTGATCGATTTTTACCCGCATCCGCCAGTTTATTGTGGATATCAGAGGATGATTCATGGGTAATCTGTGGATATGCAGGGCTCTAATGATAAGCGTTCAAATGAGTCTGATCAGTAACGCGTGTTTTGACCGATTAACTTTAAATAACAAAAGAAGAGGGAGTGAGATGTATCAATTCTTTCACGGAGAACACCTTGCTACAATTTATCAGCTGTCAATTTTATTCTTTCAAGTAAAAAACAAACTTTTATATGTTTAGTCGCTTGGAAAAAGGGCAAAATTTCTAAAAATACATTCTTGATTTTCTCCACAATACTTTCCATGAGCCTTTGGTTCCGGATTGCACTACGCTCGCTCAATGTGCCTGCACCTCCTGCAAAGGTGCGGAAAGGTGTAGGGTGGTGTACTTCGGGAACTATATCAATACGCATAACGAAAGTATACGCTTCCCTACACTTTTATGTAGCGGTGCAAGAGGTGCAGGTAAATAGAACGAGCGTATTGTTACTAGGAACTGTTCTGCCACGCCGCATCACTCAATGTCCTGCCGTTTTATTAAAATTGTTGTTTACACAACAACCGTCTTTCTGAGGGATATTTACACCGCTAGAAGTGTTTGCTTAAATACAAACCCAACTTTCTCGAGGCATATCGTGCTACAGGCTACTTGTTCTCACACTGCACCTCCATCATTCTAGGCACTAATAATTTGCCTGTCTGCATTTGTCTAGCTTAATTGCTGTGTATAGTTATCATTATAGATAATAAAACAGGCCTGTGGTAAAAAAAAAAAAACAAGCAAAAACCGTACATATGAAGGTAAATTTACTCGCGATGCCTAGATTTCTGCGCGGTTCCACGGCGCCCGATCAATTTCAGTGTAATAAGACGCGTTTCCTAATCCGTTATTTTTAAATGACCTGGTGGATAATACATCTCGTTCGTGTCAATAAAATGTATTTTTACGGCGGCATATTTACTCGCGATGCCTTCGCATTATCGCTATCCCGAGGCGCTTTTCCCGATCCGATCACCTCCAACCATGAGGTCACGGGAAGAACCCTTAAATTTATCAGCCATTAAATTAAAAAAAAAGCTCTCCAGGGTTTCAGTTACTTCCTCTCTAATATCTAGGCTCTCTAGAGACGCCTTATCATGTTTTGCATGACAGGACCATATCCCACTATTCGCTTGCACGTTTGGGACAGTTACAAAATCACAACACACCCTTCGTAACGTGACACCTAACTCAATTAGGTTACGACGACGTAGTCTGCATTCCACAGAAATCCAATTCACATTGGGTGGTTGATAAATTAACGTAGCACCCCATCAACCACGCGGTGCCAGCACCCGCCGTAAAATTTTTTTTTTGTCTTGGTGTACTAACAAGGAAGAAACATACATCACAAAATGACTGCAGACTGGCTTTTGTACGATGCACTAGCTGTGCAAGCACGTCTTAAGGCTTCATTGCCGGAGAGCAATAAAGCCTTGACCCGCGCCAGCACGAAGAGCGTGTTGGCGCGGGTCAAGATTCAAGACATAATAAACATATAAGACAAAGACAAGGTGAAAGATGTAGTTCTGTTGTCTTTGTCCTACATATTTGTTCTTTCTTTAATCTTACAATATTTCGGCGCAACTAGTTTCCTGAGACTTTTTGCGGTGACGAATTTGGGTGTCGCCGCCTGGCAGAATTTTTTCACAACGCAAAGTGAGGATACGTCCTCTGCTGGTGGAAGTACGTGCAGTGCCAAGCTCCCCCTTGCACTAGGAAAATGAAAACATAACCGCGTGGGTAGCACGTGCACTGCCCATAGGGAGGAAAACAGAAGAGCCCCAAGCGAGCTTCTCACCGCGATTAGTGATAAGGCCGGTTCAGACACTTGCGTTTGAGTGCGTTTGACTGCGTTGCTTCGAGAACCGAAAGCGAGACACCGGCACATCTGTGCTTCGTATGAAGAGTGGAATTCAATTCAAGGAATAATCTTGGCACGCGATATAAGCAGCAGAGATGTCCTGGTTTCTCGCAGCCGCAACGCAGTCAAACGCAGTCAAACGCAACTGTCTGAACAAAGCTTTAGTATTCGCTGAACGTCATATCAGTATATTTGAGCAGGTTGTTCAGAGCACATGCCAGCCACACGCGTTCGTTTATCGTTTGTCAAGAACAAAAATCCTAATGGTGTGGCATTACTTTGCTGAAGCGTTGTGGAAGCTCACCGCCAGCACGCGGTGAAGAGCAGTGGACTTCGATATGGCCGCGAGCAAATACCAAAGGTACGTTATAAAAGCACGATCGACCGATGCTCTGATACATGCGTCGGAGCAATATATGCATGTAGCTCTTAAGTTTGAGAAAGGCCTCTGGTGAGCAAAATCTAATATTTCTCGGTGACGTTTCTGTTGTGCGTCAATACGCTTAATCACATTGGCCGCGGGCGCCAAGGTGGCAGAATTTCATTGGTTAAGGTAGATTTTCGAAAAATAACGAGAACTAGTTCCACTAAATAAGCTACGCTTCAGAGTAACGACACTTGGTCATATTGTGTCTTAGAATCATGGTTGCCAGTTATCTGAAGCTTTATCTGAAATCACAGGAAACGCTTTCTTGCCCTCAACAAGTGATTAAGCAATTCGCTACAGAGAAAATCAATATTACATGAGCGTCCTAGCACCGAATATAATGCTGAGGAAGTCTCACTTTTGAATCATGACGATCGGCAGTTGCGTCTGCTCTGCACAAGCCCCAAAATGGCGGCGCTCACAACAATGTCGGGAAACGGAGTGCCGATACTCTAAGCGCAGCTCATTTAGTGGCTCTAACGAGAACGATGTGTCCGTAAGAAACGCGTTATTATCGTTTTGAGAAGACACAGAAAGCACAAGCTGTACTGTTTTTTATTTAAAAGTATTTCAAGTTCTTTCATACACCATGTTATCGCGCGTAGAGAGATGCTGACACACACTTGTAAGCGACCCTGATTTGTGTATAATCAAACACTGCAGCACCATATTATGCTCAACACAAGCATTACATGGTCGCGTCTTAAGTGTCTTAAGGACGCGCTCGAGCCGCCTGGCCGAAGGCAATGGCCCTATACCACGTAGTTTCTAACTGATTCCAAATAGGATATCGAAGTTCGCAGTCACTTGGCTGATGAACTACGTCGTAGAGTGAGACGAAGTACAGAACAGCGACACTTGCAAACGTCATAAAATAACAAAAATTATGTTAGGTGCTGTACAATTGCGTACAGGCTCCGAGGTGTCTTTGAAGCACACTGCAACGCTTTCGGAGGGTCTGCATGAATAGCTTAAAAACTGCCGGATCATGCTGCTACCCTTGCGCGGCCCAGGGCACACGGAAATAAAAAAGAAGTAAACGCTCGGTTAGTATTTTATCAACGAATGCGATAAGATCGGTTTCGGCGGTCCTTTTTGGCGAAAAGAATCAGATTTGAACTTGGAATTTTGAATACCCTCTTACCACGCCTTTTAGTCCGGACGCAGACACCCATGTGACACAGTGCCGAAGATAAGTTCTTACCGATTTTGACAGTTGCCACCCCCGTCCACAGCGAGCCTTTAGCTGTAGTGCAGACGTCCAAACTGTTAAGATGAACCTTCTAAAAATCAGGCACAAAGTGCATTTAGTCCGCACCCATGGCCTTCTGTTAACTGCGGAGTGGTTACGACATGTAGACAGGGCAGACGCGAATTTACACGGTGTGTCCTCGTCGACTTGTTGACGTGCAAGAAGGGTTCTACTAAAATGGCGGAGAACACCATGTGCCAAAGGTACGACACCATCGAACTTGTATCCGAAGTCGGAAATCGTTCACACGAATACGATCTTGACTTGGCGGATGCATCGTGTCCCGTTCTCGCCCGTGCTTTGTCCGATGCAATCGTCAGAAGTATCGTTGAATCGGATGAATGGCCATCGTTTGTAGAAGAATTGCGGAAGGTCGGAGACGATGACGACTTCGATGACTTGCTGTGCAAGCCAACGTCAAAGCAGTACCTGTCGTGGGTTACTGAACATTCGGCTCTTGAAACCATTCCAGAAGACAAGAGACACACAACCTCTACACCAAAAGATTCAGCAAGCAACCGGCTTCAAAGGGATGAAAGTTGCATGTGTGCTTCCGCGGATCAGTCGAACAACGACGGCGCTTTCCGTAAAACGGATAGGAAGTGTCGTTCAGTCCAATCGCCCAGTAGTGAAGCTAGACATCGGCGAGTCATTTATTCAAGCTCGCATTCAGGAATCCAGCAAGGCGTTAAGCTCTCCGGGGGTAACCAAGTTCTTACTCCAGGGAACAAGAGCACGAGGACATCACCGCCGCTCAAGTGTTCTAAAAGTTCCCTGACGGATTCTACCGACTTGTCAATCTCAGACAAGAATTCCTTGGAGTGGTCTGGCGAAATAGAGCAATTCCGCGCTGCTCTGTTCTCGTCGGGGTCTTCGGGGGACAGCGACCTCGTCAAGTCCGCCTTCCAGATCACTAAGAGTGGGAGCTCCATCCTGGCCCTTGAACAGCTGTTCCTTACCGCCGACCAGGCCCGCAGACTGCACGACCACCTGCCAGGTCCGGTGGCCGCCAAGGTTGGCAACCTACAGTTGAAGCGTCTGGCAAATAAACCGTGCGAGGAAGCGCCTTCTGAACCCGGCGTAACCAAGCGTTCGCTGCGTCGTCTTGGCAGAGGAGCCTTCGGACGAGTCTTCGGCGTGCATATCAAAGGTACGTTCTTCCGACCGCCGTTTCCTCTGGCCGCGTAAAAATTGATGGCCAATTCGTGACAAACCGAAGTAGCTCGACAATGGCATGCCTAAAGGCTTATCCCGTGTGTTTATTTAAACGATAACTAAGACTGCATTCGTTGAACACTGTTAAAGCACAGGACAGACGTTCAACTACAACACTGCGACGAACTTAGAATCTTGTTCATCTGTCATGATTCATCGGTGTGCAATGATGTACGCAATCAGTAGTGACCTGCTGACCTCTCGCCTCATTTCTGTCAGGGTATACTGACTGAAGATGTCATTTGAATAGGTGGCAAACCGTCGGTACTTAACCTTTGGTTGTGTCAGGGCTACATTAAACAGGAATAAACGTTTTTAGTTATGCGTTCTCACGGCTATTTAAGTTTTTTTCGAGTTTATTCGAATGACTTTTCTCACCGGTTGCAAAGAAAGTTACCAGGACAACCGCGGAGAGTGGTATTGAACCTGGTGGCGCTGATCGTCGGTGATGGTTATAGTTCCTGTATAGGCTGCCTACGGGGGTCAGTGTTGCGCTTCTGTTTTCCCCGTGCCGCCGCGTCGCAATTCGTCGAGATCGATCACGTGAGGAGCAAAGAATCCTTCGCCGTGCAGGAAAGTAGACGTTGCACGGGTCTTCGTGTATGTTCCCCTGCTTTTGCCTTCTTAATTCTCCTCCTTTCATGTTTTCCATGCGCACGAATAGCGTGGCGCCGCTATTCGCACAACTTAGTCACGTGACCGGCCGCAATCGGCGGAGCACGGCTCCTACACGCGCGAGAAGTGACTTTCCCGCATAATTTAGGATGTTAAGATAACTCTGTGCGCAACCCTGGCTCCCACAGGAATCTTATACAGAAACTCTAGTGATGGTTAGTCCTTTTATAAAACTCGCGTTTCGCAAATTCAAGCAGACTCACAACAGATTGACAACAGTCGGAGTTTTGCGATATCAGGGGGCTTCATTTTTGTAAACAACTTTTTACGACGAAAAGGCGTCCGTGCGCTCGTGCATCGTGAGTGCCGATCAACATTACTAGATGGCTCGGTTAATACAGGATCAAACTGCTCCTACAACACACCAAGGACGGTCTGCAAACAGGAGTAACCGCGATGCCCGTCGTTCAAATGCCGGGTGCCAAGTTTCTCCTTGAACTCGTTGCCATGCGGCATTCGAAGCGCAAATCTCGCGGTTACTGGCGTTCGAATCTGTATGCACTCTGTATTTTGCATTGTGTATAAGCAGTGTGACCCCGGCTTTACGGAACTGCCCATAGACGCTGCTTGCAGGAGCATTGCACCCCTTCTCCATCCACGGCTCACCTTCCGTTGTTCGACGCGCCACCATTTTGGGGGGATGGCTGCTGTGGTAACTGCAGTGTATTTCATGAAATGCGTATGTTTCGAAGCATGACGTCTAGATGGCGTTTCACCGTACTCTATGGAACACACAGTTCTGAATCGAAAATCTAGACGGCGTTTCAAACGACGGGGGACGAACTGAGGAAAGTGAAGGGGGCTACCTTCCTCCACGGGAGTTCCACAGCTGAGGTAATCTTGTAACGTTGGTGCCGATTACAGCTCTACAGAGGCACTCTTCAATACATCCTGGTCCGAGCACGAACCACCTGACATCGACGGGGTCGCTGAACGCTCACCTGACGCCATTACGCGTGTTGCCACAAAATTGATAAAATGTAGTCGAAGGGCAGGCGAACGTCACATGCGGCGTAATTGTAAAGCAATGAGCTCATTGGCAAGTAGACTCTTCGGAGGAGCTGCTTTTCACGTCAAAAATAACTTAAGAAATGATTATTGTGGGTCTTGTTAAAACAGAGGTTCCTGCAAAAGGAAACAAAATTCTCTGGTATCGAAATATATGTCAACATGCGTTAAATAATAGGATGAAACAACGACATAATCATGATTTAGAAGCAAATGAATTAGTCTTAATCGTTGCTATAAACCCGCGGCGAGAGCAGAATGGGTCGTGCGTGCATTATGCGTATGTTACGGTTTATTATGATTGGTTGAGGGCGCTTTGGATGGTTTTGGATGCGTTAACAGAATTATCGAGACTATTTGCAATTTATTCGGGAGCCGAGTGCGTAAGGAGTATTTTGAAGATTTTATTGAAACGACTGAATGTGCGCAGTCTCGGGGGTTTCCTATTTGAATTGGGAGGTGCGGTTCTCGCCATATATCACCGCGTACCCCTGTAAAGAGAACGGAGGCAGCCGTGTGTGCTTCCTTCACGAGCCCGGTATCTCGGTGGCTCAGCAGCAACCCTCTCCCTCAGCGCAACGTGAAAACGCGATAGCGTTTGCAGCGCGATGGGAATGCTTTCTCTCGGACACGGGAGTTGCCAAACCGCTCGGGGAGGATTTTGCGCTGAAGGTGCGCTGTCTAACGCAAATGAGCAAAATATAATTCTAGTGAAGTGGTTGAGTTCTACTTCATCCGATGGCACGTTTAGCGGCTTGAGTTCTTAGTGTGCTTGGATTGGGAAGAGCCCCTTTTGGGAAGTGAAATAACAGCCAGGGGAGGAGGTTTACCGCACCGCTAATCTAGCTATTGGCTAAAGCGTAAAAGTCGAAACATCATAAGACAGCTGCGCTATCCGTTGGTGCGTCACGATCTGCCTCGTGCCGTTGCAGGATCACGTGGGGAGCTCCACTGTTGGCGAAAATCTACACCTCTAGACGTGAGAACAGTTGTCCAAGGGCGGAAACCACCAAATTAAGCTTGCTTTACACGAAAGGCATGGTGTATATTTTTGCATGGGAGGTATCCCGTAAAATGAACAGATTTGAAAATGTACTTCGTTCCGCGATAACACTTCTATACTTCGTTTCATCCTATGTCCAGACGCAGCCGACACTACGTGCTGATGGGACAAATCAAACAGCGTCAAAAGTGCCACATCACGGTGTTGGTCGTGTGTCCGTACGTATTCCATCATCGATGGACCGATCATAAACAAAAAAGGCCTAGTGAATCGCGCCTTTGACGCTGCTTTATTAGTCCCATTAGCTCGTAACGTCGGCTGCATTTGGAGACACGATGGAAACGAAGTATACATTTGTTCTTTTCGCGATGGCCGCAATAAATAGAGTAGCGGCCGGTCGACGTGAGACGGGATCGACGTTAGTCGCGCAACGCCTGCCGGCCGGCGCAGCAACCACGCGTTGCTATATGTGACGACGCAGCTTTCTCTTCGAGGAGCTGCCAATCTGGCTCGAGCGGCGTTGCCATGCTGCGTATAGCCCACCATTTAAAAATAGACCTTTGCAAAAATCGCCTTCTGCGCGCTGCTGTCTTTGTCTGCTGGGCTGTACACTGTAAACAATTTTCACCCCATTTTACGGGCAAAAGTTGCTGGTTCAATATTGCCGGTATGGTTTGCCGTAATCTAGAAACGGGACTGTCTGTAAAAACAAGGCATATAATTTCGTAAAATGACGAAACGTCCGTAGTTCACTTTACAGACAGTTATCCGTTTTCCATTTTACGGGTAAAAGTTGCTGGTTCAATATTGCCGGTATGGTTTGCCGTAATCTAGAAACTGGACCGTCCGTAGAAACAAGGCATATAATTTCGTAGAACGACGGAACGTCTGTAGCCCACATTACGGGCAGCTATCCGTAGGAAATGTGAAAGCTATCCGCACTACATAACGAAGGAGTATACCTTTCCGAATTATATAAGGCCAAAGCCTCGAGCCATCCGTACCACCTGCACCTCCGATACATCAGGCGACTCACCTGGCAGAGCTCTAGATCTGCCAGGGGTGTCACCTGACGTATCAGAGGTGCAGGACTGGTGCGGATGACTCGTAGCTTTGGCCTTATATAAGGTGGAAAGGTATAGTCCTTCGTTATTTAGTGCGGACAGCTTTCACATTTCATATGGATAGCTGTCCATAATCTGGGCTACAGACATTTCGCCATTCTACAAAATTATATGCCTTGTTTTTACAGAGTCCCGTTCAAAAAGACGTAAAGGTCAAGTGCTTCATTATTTAGTGCAAAAAGCTTCCATATTCAAGCAAGCCTAAGTCACATGAAGCTTTTGGGGTAGATTGGTATGGAGAGTTCATAGCTCCGTCATTTAATATGTGAACTTGAATATTCTTTCATCCTCAACCAAAAAGTTCATGTTTTGCAAAAGAGAAAGAGCACACAACCTGTACTTCTCAATGCCAGGATTTTGTTTGTGTGAGCTCAGCTGTTCCTATAGATGACAGCTCAACAAACGAACCAATTAAGAAGTTTCGCCACAATACCTTTATTGCAAGAAGGCATGCCTTGCTTTAACTTTGGAGAAAATTTACATTATAGTTGTCCTTGTGCTGGCCATATAGATGCCCCTCCATGCTTGTGCTTGAAGTTGTCATTCAATTGAAGACCTCCTCGGTATCTTCATGGTGCATGTAAGGGAAGCTTGAAATAAAGAGCAGAAGAGAATTTGCATTCAAACACAATCGCAACAAATTGTATATGACATGCACGGTTAAACTAAGTAAGCAACGTGCTTACCAACTAGCCTAGCTCCTACTAAACATGACATATAAAATAAACCCCCCATAAATTGAACCAAAGTAAAAATTTGCATTGATTTGAATACTGAACATATCAAGTGCTTGAGAAATAAAACTAGCCAATTAAAATCGCACAACTATTCAGTGATATTAAGCACATTGGATTGAGCCAGATCTCCCTTAGTATATACAGTAGGCTCGCGATAATTCAAACTCGGATATTTAATACTTCTGGTTAAGTCAAACAAATTTCAAAACTTCGGTTGACCCACTATGTTTTCAATGTATTCATAAGCCGCTTAACTCCAACAATGTTTTCATGTAATTCATACTTTTTGTTCTCGCAGCACCGTTGAGCGCACTTCTTTCGGAGCACCGGTGCACTGCGGAGAAGCAACACCCGTGGAGCTTGCTTCCGCCGGCGTTGCTTTTCCGCA